TTATTTATTTGTTTGTTTATTTATTTATTTATTGGTTTTTCGAGACAGGGTTTCTTTGTGTAACCCTAGCTATCCTGGAAGTTGCTCTCTAGACCAGGCTGGCCTCGAACTCAGAGATCCACCTGCCTCTGCCTATGCACCACCACAGCCCGGCTCATTTTATATTTATTTTATTATTTATCATTTAACTAGCATTCATTTTCTATCTGTCTGTGTGTCTGCCTGTCTATCTTCTGTTTGTCTATCATCATGAATAATCTATCATCTGTCTACCTATCTTTTATCTGTTTTTTATCTTCAACAATCTATCTTCAGAGAGGCAAAGAATGTGACAAAATATTGACCAGCATTGATTGTAGGTAAAGAAAACACCAGTGTTTGCATCACTGTTTGAATTATTTCTATTTATTTTCTAACTCGGAAGGCAAGCGCTGGCAGAGGAGCTGCAGTGAGGGCACCCTGGTAGCCCAGAGAATCACAGTTTCGAGCAGGAGCCGGGTCGGCAGGGTGTGCTGCTTTGGGTTGTCGGAAGATACTGTATTTCAGCGTCAACGCCAGGTTGGCTGGTCTGCTGGTGTTCACAACCTTAGTACTGGTCTCTGTTAAAACAGAAAGTACAGACCTCTTATGCATTTTTATTTCTTAAGTGAACTGTATTTTCCCAAATAGTGGAACTTCAAAAACATAAAGAAAATAAAATAGAAACTTCCCTGACCGGGAATCGAACCCGGGCCGCGGCGGTGAGAGCGCCGAATCCTAACCACTAGACCACCAGGGAAGGCATGCTGAGCTTTCTTTCTAACGGCACTAGAGACTAGATGACGACAAGGCTGACGGGTAACTGCAGTTAACCCAGGGAACTGGCACCTAGGCAACCTGGCGACTCGCCGCCCGGGAGGACCTGACAACACCAACAGATGAAAGAAATTTTTGCAAGGGAGGAATAGCCTCCTGAGCGGAGGAAAATAAAAATAAACACACCAAAAGGTACATGTGTCAGAAGTGGGATTCGAACCCACGCCTCCATTCGGAGACCAGAACGCCCGGAGGGAAGGCTCACGCCTTGAGTCTGGCGCCTTAGACCACTCGGCCATCCTGACACCTGAGAAACTGCCGCTTCTTGCTTATCCTGAAGCCTGTGCTGTGCGCGCTCGCTGCTACGTGCGCGGGCCCTACATTGTCCCTCCCAGTTGGCTCCAGCGTCCAACAGTGAGCGAACTTCACGCTGTCGCCGCCTGTAAACCCAGAAATGCGACGCGGGAGAGAAGCAGGCAGCTTGGGGCAGCAGCCGTGGACCGCAACGTCACCCTCGTTCCCCTGCAAACGCCCTCAGCGTTCGGGGTACATCCGGAGGCCAGACTGGGAGCTCCGTGCTTCCCTCTCTGAGCGACCTGGGTTAGGTGAGCGTCGCTCCACCAATGGCGACACAACTCTGAATGCGTTAGCTTGCCAAGGGAAGGCCCAAGACCTCCTGGCAGAACAGTCCTGGACAAGCCGGAGGGTGGCCCAGTGAGTGCCTTCCACCCATGCCCCCCTCCGCCCCGCCCCCGCCTCTTCCTCCTCCATGTAATCCCAAAACTTATTTCCCTTTGCCCTGGTGAAGTGATGATAATCAGTACAGCTATTCAACTCCCGAGAAAACAAACAAGCAAACAAACCAGTCAACCACCACCAACAAAACCACACAAGGCTATGAAAGGGAGAGGGCCAGAACTGCTGCGGAAGACCTACTGAAAAAGTTCCTATCGAAAAAGTATTCCTCAAAAATAATATGCGCAGCAGGACGTAGCCTGCAATCCCACTGCTCTGAGATGGAGGCAGTGGGATTGGTTCAAGGTTATTATTCCCAGTGAGTTGTGGAAAAGCGAGACCTTGTCTCAAAAAACGAAATGAAGCAAAAGACCAACAGAGGATCCTTCCAATCACACACACACACACACACACACACACACACACACACACACACACACACACACACATTGAGATTTCATTTAATTAACGAATGACGCTAAGGAAAAATACCCTGCCCTGTTCAAATGAAGAAGGCTGTTCTATTCAGACTATCGTAGAAGCAGACAGAGTTAAGGCAAAGACAGCCGGGGGTTGTAGCCAGGGAAATGGTGGCCAGCGTGGGTGGAAAGGTCTTAAGGGCAAATGTCAATCAAGGGCAAGGGGGCTCCCACTAAAGAGGCCCTACGGAATTCTTCCAAAAACCAAGCCAAAGGTTTGGACGTCAAAGGTGAGGGATGATGACAAAAGGCTATCTCTTGGGCAGGGGTAGGGAGTTCTCCATAGACTAACCCAGGAGGGTGGCTAGTGCCAGAGACAGGTGGTGAGGGGCAAGGTTCAGGCCTAGTCAGAGAAAGGGCTCACAGGCGCGGAATTACAAGTTGGTTAATGATGGATTTGTAGGACGTTAAAACCACACAGAGGAAAGTTTTACGAGGTTAAAAAAAATAACACATGTACCCAAATTAGTGAATAAATAAATAAATGGTGTAAAGAGATTGCTGATAGATTCGGGTGAGTTCATGTCCCCGTTGTGATGTAATAAGTGATGTTTGACTGCTTAACCTTTTACGGCTTCTTTGAAACATCTATGTATGTATGTATGTATGTATGTATGTATGTATGTATGTATGTATCTATCTATCTATCTATCTATCTATCTATCTATCTATCTATCTATCTATGGTTTTAGAGACAGGGTTTCTCTGTGTAGCCCTTGGCTGTCTGGAACTTGCTTTTCAAACAAGGCTGACTTTGAACTCACAGAGATTCTCCTGCCTTTGCCTCCCCAGTCAGTGCTGGGTTTAAAGGCATGCCCAACCACCTCCAGGCAAAACTGTCTTTTTAAAAAATGTTTTTTAATGCCAGAGTAAAAAATCTATTTATATTATACATTTATTGGTTGATTTGAGACAGGGAGGCTCTCTCTACATAGCCCTCTCCACAAGTCTCGAAACTTATTAGGTAGATGAGGCTGTCCTGGAACTCACAGACATCCTCTGGCCTCTGCCTCCCAAGTGATTGGATTCAAAGTGTTTGCCACTGTGTTTGGTAACCATGCCTGACTGCAGGGGAGAAAACTGGATTTAAAACATCTTAATTTAAGAAATTATATAGGGCTGTGTCTGGGTGTGGGTGTGGGCAGAAGCTCAGTTGCCCTCAGAAACCAGAAAAGGGTATTAGGTCCCCTGGAGCTAAAGTTTCAAGTGGTAGTACCAGGAACCAAATTCTGTAAGAACAGAAAGTACTCCTAACTACCTGGCCATTCTTCCAGCCCCAGGAAGACAGTCTTTTAAAATTTTTTTGGAGACAGAGTCAGTCTTTAAAAATTTTTTTTGGAGACAGGGTCTCACTCTATAGCTCTGGTTGGCCTAGAACTCCATATGTAGACCAGGCTGGCTTGCAACTCTCAGAGATCCATTTACCTCTGCCTCCTAGGTGCTGGGATTAAGGTGTGCACCACCACATCTGGTAAACATCTTTAAAAATAAAAAGTATTATTTTGTATGTATGTAACATGTGTGGACATGTGTGCCATGGCTCATGTCTGTTCTCTCCTTCGACCCTTATGTAGTTTCTAGGGGTTAGACTGAGGCCTCCAGACTTGCTCAGCAAGTACCTTTCCCTGGTGAGATACCTCACAGTTTATGATGAGGGTCTTGCACACTGAAATAGTCTCCCCAAACATCCATGCTCTAACTACTGGACTCTATGAAAACTGCTTTCTGTAGCAAACACTTTGCAGATGATTGTTTGGAGCATTGAGATGGGGAGATTATCTGGATTACCCAAGTGGATTCTATGCTTAAAAAAGGCAAAGGAAGGCTTGCCCCAAAAGGAAGCCATGTGATCATGGAGTCAAAAGCTGATGTGACATGGTCAGAAATCAGGGAATGCTAGGAACCACTGGAAGATAGGAAAGGCCCTGTCAGCACTTGGTGCTGGTCTTCTGACCTCCCAAACTGTAAGGGAGGGAACTTCTGATGTTTTGAGCTGTCAACTTCGTAGTGATTTGCCACAGAAAAGCAGTCAATAGTGCAGGTGGCTTGGAGTGAGGTTTGTGTTCACTGGTGCAGCTGTTCACTGTTGATATCCTTGTACTAGGCAGTACCCTCAATTTTTTATCTGAATGAAGTGTATTAAGTCAGTTAACCTTGGAGGGTCAACTAGGCAGTCAAACGAGTTTGGAATCCAAAGAGGGTAGCCAGAAACAAAAACCTGTGGGCCATCAATGGGTGACCTAATTAGATCACCCCCAAACATGATATCCAAAAGAGAGGCTTGCCGGGTCCTGAGCTCGGTACACTCCATCCTTTGATAACAGAAGAATCCAAGAGAGAAGAAAAGCCAGCGAAGAGGGAGGAAACCAGCGGTGGGTGAAGTCAGAGAGTGAAGCTGAAGAGAAAGTGAGAGGAGGAGAGAGCTAACGTTTCCTGCAGCTTAGGGCAGAGAGGAAGCAGAATGGACACTTTATTTAACAGCACAGAGGTCTGTAATCCCAGCACTTCTGAGGAGGAGGCAGGAGTTCAAAGTCACCTTGGCTACATAGTGAATTGGCGATCAGTCTGGGCAACATGAGACCTTGTTTTAAGCAAATAACCAAAATAGTAACCCTGGAAAGCCCTGTTGCGGTTGCTGGATGGAAATAACTCCATCAGAGCCATTTGTAGCTAATGTGAAATGAAAGCATCTGCACAGAATCTAGGCAACTTTTTGAAGGAATGTATTGATAGTGGCAGGTTATGGGCTGCAGCTGGAGGGTGGTCTACGGTTCAGAAAGGACACTTCTTGACTTCAGGCGACGGATACTGCAGTTCGCGTTTGCTTTGTGGCAAATAAAAGGCAAAGATGCTAGTAGAAAAAGGAGTTTACAGTCGGATCTGGTAACAGTCACACAAGACCAGAGATAACTACAATTCCCGGCAGGTTTTGCGCGGGGATCACGGCGCGCAGGCGCAGGCCGCTGGCCTCTGACGCTGCAGCCTCCGACGCCAATGGGGACGGTTTCTTCTTAAAGGAGAAACAGTGGCGGCGGCGCGCGGTGGGCCCCAGTCTTCCCCGGGCTCTCGGAGGGAGCACGCGGGACCCGGAGGCACACGCGCAGTCTAGGCGAAGGCGGATTGGGGCGGGCAGGTAAGACCCCAGCGTGGGCCAGTGCTGGGCGGGCGTCCTCTGCATGGGAGGCAGTGAAGAGGCCGATGCGCGGCTGCATGCAGACCCCACCACCCGCGGACAAGGAGGGCAAGTTTCCCAGTGGAGGTTTCTTGCCCCTGCCTGCGACTCCCGTACCCCGAGTGTCCACCCTGGCTCTAAGAATGGGTGACTGGATCCAAGGGCCGCGAGTGCTTTGGAGGCAGTGTGGTCTGGCCCCCATTCAGCGCAGACTGAGCTGGGGCTGTGACTGCCCAGCACATCCCGACTGCACCACGTCCTCCCGCAGGCCCGGGTGCGCATGGCCTCTCCGGTGGCAGATGCATCCCGCCGACGGCGGGAGAAGCGTAGGCAGCTGGACGCGCGCCGCAGCAAGTGCCGCATCCGTCTGGGTGGCCACATGGAGCAATGGTGCCTCCTAAAGGAGCAACTGGGCTTCTCCCTGCACTCACAGCTCGCCAAGTTCCTGTTGGACCGGTTAGGGGCCGGGAGGGACTGGGGTGGGCACCGAGGCAGAGCCCCCAACCTGTTCTACAGCCTTGGGTTTCTCGCTTAGGCTGGGCAGGCTGCTCCTCCCCTCGCAGCCCCAGCGAATAGGAGGTTTATAGGGTTGGCCCCATAAGTCAGTGAGTGCCTGGATGAGGGTGGTTGGCTTCCTAGATTCCGAGCTCACCCCAAGCTCTTCTCTGGCAGGTATACTTCTTCAGGCTGTGTCCTCTGTGCAGGTAAGTAAAAGATGGCAACAGGCAGTGGTGATGCCAGTTCCCAGAAACTTATGCCCCAAGAGAATTGGATCAGAAGTTTGGGAAAGGGAACCAGCCCGAAATAACTTAGTGCTGCGGCAGCCTTTGGGAAGGATGTGTGCCTAGACTTAAAGTCAAACCAAACCAAACAAACCCCAAACTCTGCAGGGACAGGAGAGATGGCTAAGTGGTTAAGAGCGGGTGCTCTCTGGCAAAGGACCCAAGTACATTTCGTAGCGCTCACGGCAGGGGCTCACAACTGCCTGTAATTACAGCTGCAGAGAGATCCAACACCTCTGGTCTCCAGGAGCACCTGCATTCATGTGCACCCTCCCCTCAACACATAAAGCTAATTAAAAATAAGATTTTTTTTACTTTAAAAAAAGATAAACCAGATTTGGGTTTAGAGGGATTAGGATTCTCTGCGTGGCTTTCTGGGTGAGAGGGGTTTCCAGCCTTGTATGACTGTATCATCTTACCTCCAGGTCCAGAGCCTCTGCCCCCAAAGGGTCTGCAGTACCTGGTGCTCCTGTCTCATAGGCACAGCCGGGAGTGCAGTCTAGTGCCTGGCCTTCGGGGGCCTGCAGGTGGCGATCGGGAGCTTGTGTGGGAGTGTTCGGCGGGACACACGTTCTCCTGGGAACCTTCTTTGATTCCGACACCTGCAGAGGTGCCGAAGCAGCACCCCCTTTCACACACTACTGAGAGGACCTGGTGTTCAGGGGCCAGGAAGAAGGAGCCTGAGGGTGAGTAGAAAAGAAGGGTGGAGAAAGCAAACGGCTTTCCAATCTTCTCTGGTCATAACTAGTTTATAAAAATGAGCTTGTCATTTGTTCAGTTATTGGTTGAGATAGGGTCTCATGTAGCCAAGGAGCCTTGAAGTCCTGGTCTTGCCTCCACCCCTAAAGTGCTGGAATTACTAATAATGATCCTTTCATGCCAGCAAGGAAATAGAGTCTCCCATGGGCTGTTAGGTATACAAAGCGAAACCGCAGAGTGACGGTATGCTACCTTTGACAGAGGCTGGAAACAAGGTTTAAAAGAGAATGCATTTGTAAAAAGTACCACCTGGCAGACTAGGTTGCCACTGGGAAGAAATTGCCCTCAGTCTTTGAGCACAGGCCTCCTCTTATGACCTGCTTGTGCCAACAGGTTTGGAATGTGAACAGCATGAAAAGACTCAAGAAGCCAGGCTGTCCAGGTGAGGATGGGAGGTACGGGATGGGACAGACCTGCAGATGTAGGGAGTGCGGTGGCAGTTTCTCAGGAGTGTCTTTCTTGAGCATGCAGGGACGTAGAATGCCCATTGGAGACCTTCCCAGCCCCGGGAGAGGAGCAGGATGTGGAAGAGGATGAGGATGAAGAGCCGCTCAGTGATGCCAGCCCATGGACCTACAGCTCCTCCCCAGATGAGCCAGTTGGGATTGAGGGAGGAGGCTGAAGACTGAGAGAGGGAGGAGGCAGCTGGCCCCTGATAATTCAGAGATGTGTCAGCTGGAGGGATGGATTTGCTGCGGGGTGGACAGGGCAGATGTTGGGGAAAGTGAACTGTAAGCTTTGAATTGGCAATGTGGAAAAGGGATTCAGTCAGGCTCTGGGAGAGGCTGAGGGCATGAGAGCCTGCTGTGGGAGCTGGAATCTTTTCCATTTAGGGGTTAGGGCTTAGTTAGGGCTGACTAATTGCCCAGAGGGATAATGCCCTCCTCCTCCTCCTTCTCTTTCCAGCAGTGAACCAGATGTTTCTAAGCCACCTCCGTCGCCTGCTACCCACACACCCAAGGAGGGAGAGACCCCGCCAGTGCCTGCAATTCTCCCTGGCCCTTGTGCTGTTCTTGCCTCTCTGGGTTCTACAGCTGCTCTGACATCAGAAGCTGAGGTGCCCCTAGAACTCAGTAGGACCCCTCAGGCCTCTGTAGAGCTGCAAATGACCGAGTCTTTGGACAGGTAACCTGATGGCTGAGACCGAGAGGGCAGGGGTGTCCTGGGATGTGTCACTCTTGAGGTCCTTGGCGGCTCTTTGCTACCCATAGCCCTGGGAGTCAGGCCCAGTCTGCTCCGAAGCCCACCTGGGATGAGGAAGGTGCCCAGATTGGGCTCAGGAGAATGAGGTAGGACTGGGGAGATGGGGCTCTGGGGAGGGTCAGGAGTGAGGCAGAGCAGGTGAGAGTCCTGCTTTCATTCTCCCCACAGGAAAGCTGCCAAAAGAGAGCTGATGCCCTGTGACTTCCCTGGCTGTGGAAGGATCTTCTCCAACCGGCAGTATTTGAATGTGAGGGACACAAGTTGAGGCTTGTGTGACCACTGGGGTTGGGGGGGTGGGGAAAAGATACCCCTGGGCTGAGGTGTAAATTTGGCTTAGTTGTAGTGCAATTGTCTAGCATGTACAAGGCAACACACACAGCTTTTGGTGTAGAGGCGAAGGCCCAAGCTCCATAGTTGGTAACGGCCTCTGGCCCCAAGTATAGGGAGGGCCAGAGAGACGGTGAGGTGTAGGTGAACAGGATGGACCTGAGAAAGATATCTACAGGTTAGATGTGAGCCTTTTATGCAGCAGACTGCAGCAGCTGCTCGCACTAACTATGGAAACACAGGGTTAGGATGCAGGCAGCATTCAGGAATGCATGCTCTAGGATGTGACTAGATCACCTAAGAGGGACTTCCTCGTTGGGAAGTTCAGTTCTAAGCACCATCTGCCAGGTGGGGGCGTAGCTCAGTGGTTAGAACATCTGCCTGTCATATGCAAGGTCCTGGATCAGAACCCAAACTGGAAAAAGAAAATAGAAAAAGCAAACAAGAAACTCCCCAAGCCTCCAAAGAACCCTTTTCCCTCAACAGTGCTCTCTTCTGGGAGCCTATGAGGTCTGTGTATTTTCAGAACAGGTATAAGAGAAAACCCCACATTGGTATATATAAATAGCATAACCAGAGACTACAGCATATACTAATGTGGGTCATCATGTCCACCTAAGCTATGTTCCTTCCCAGACAGACAAGGTAGGATACACCATGAGTGTCATGCGGACATTGCAATGATGGTGTGCAGCGGGTAGGCATCCAGAGGGAACAGACGAGGGCAGTCAGTGGTCAGGGTGGGAGGGCAGTTGTGCTGCTCAGGGCGTAGGTGAGGGTGGGGCCAGGAAGGTGGCCCAGACAATGATAGACCTGTGGTGAGGAGACAAGGGTGGAAGAGGAGCCTGCCTGCTCACCCCGCTCAAGTCAGTCTCCTGGGGAGTAGCCATTCTTTTGCCTCTTATCTCTGTCCCCCGTTCTTAGCACCACAAGAAGTACCAGCACATCCATCAGAAGTCATTCTGCTGCCCCGAGCCAGCTTGTGGGAAGTCCTTCAACTTTAAAAAGCACCTAAAGGAGCATGTGAAGCTGCACAGTGGTGAGTGCTGGGACCCCTTCAGCTCCCCTGGGAGGACCGCATCCCTTAGTCCCCGTATTGCCTCCTTGAGATCATTACTAGGTTCTGGGTAGCCTGACCCTTGTGAAATGTCAATTCTAGTCATGTAGGACCATGAAGAGATGCGAAAGAAGGGGAGGGTAGACAGCAGGAAGGGCAAGCTGCTTCTGTGGCCTGAGGAATAGAGGGTAGCACATGTAGGAAGCATCTGCGTGTTTCAGGGATGGAGAGGAGGCCGCCAAGGCCGCAGTAAGAATGATGTGCTTTCTACTTTGGAATGAGACCATTGTGAGGTCTTACACTGTGGGGAGATAGCTGACTGCCAGAGATGGCTATAGCAGCTCTGTGGAGAATCAGGGACCACAGATGAGTAGAGATGGGTGTACCCTCATAGTGATGGCTTGGGTTTGCCCATCATAGTTGGTGAGCAGTGGCTGAGGCTCCTATGAGAGTGTAAAAGGGCTGTGTGAGAAGGAGGGGTGAGCCAGGGTGGGACTGGCAGGGAGAGAGGGTGACTAAGAAGATTCCAGCTGGGGCAGCTGGGTCATTAGACCCTGAAAGCAAGGAAAGGGGCTGGTGGCATAGGACTCTAGGTTAATATGTGTTAATTAGAAGTCAAGATTTGAGTATAGGGTTTATAGAGTCAACAGAAATCTGTCATGAGCATGTGTGTAATGTTTGGATTCATGGGGCTGGAGTGTGCTTGCACAGGATGGGAGGGAGGTCTGACATGGTGCATCTGCCTTCAGAAGGTAGGCCGGGGGGGAAGAGAGGAAGGCAAAAAATGTGGACTGGAGGAAGCAGGTGCAGAAACTGCTCCAGTAAGGAAGGAGAACAGGTTGATAAAAACTGCAGGCCAAGGAAGGAGTGGGGACTAGATAACAGGACAGTGTTATCTAGTGACAAGAGCTTTCCTCTGGGGATGGCAGCCAGAGTGGAGTGGGTTCAATGCCAAGCAGAGCTGAGGAGGGAGAGATGCAGGAGTGCTGCTGGGCAGATGAGCAGAGGAGTGAGGTCTCATATGGAAGGCTAAAAGGTTAAGGCGCAGAGTGGGAAAGGAAGGCTTACTGACATCAGGGTGTGTGGAGACTTTGAGGAGAAGAGGTGAATTCTGAGAGACACGGGGAAGGCATCCACATATTCACATTATATGAGCAGGGTACTAGGTAACTGCTGGATTTGAGGGGCAAGAATGGTACTGGAGGTGCAGGCACTCTGAGAGGAGATTGGGGGTTTCCGGTTCTGCCAATCCCTCTCTTCAGTGAGGTAGCTGAGCAGTAGACGCCAACATGCAGGTGTTTGTGAAGACCCTGACGGGCAAGGCCATCACTCTTGAGGTTGAGCCCAGTTACACCATCAAAAATGAAGACTGAAGATAAGGAAGGCATCCCCCTGACCAGCAGACTAATATTTGCTGGCAAGCAGCTGGAGGATGGCTGCACCCTGTCACCTGCAACTTCCAGAGAGAGCCCGCCTTCCACCTGGCACTTCGCCTTGTGTTGGCATCATCAAGCCATCCTTTCGTCAGCTTGCCCACAACTGTGGCAAGATGATCTGCTGCAAGTGCTACGCATGCCTGCACCCCGTGCAGTCAACTGTCGCAAGAAGTGCGGCCACACCAACAACCTGCATCCCAAGAAGAACGTCAAATACAGCTGTGGCAATACCTGGCCCATGACGCTGGGACCAAATAAAGCCCCCTTCCATCCAACTGGAAAAAGAAAATGGTACTAGGAGCGTTGGAGAGAGCAGATGCTCTTCGGGCTTCTGGATGGTGGCCACTGCACAGCTCATCAATGACAGTAAAGACCATGGGGAGGGTTGACTATTCATGCCCCATCTTAGAGGTCAGGGATTAGGTTTGGGTTGAGTTGGATTTTCACCAAGCAAGTACTGGTAAGGGACAGGGCAGATTGGTAGTGTGAAAGGCCATAATGACAGCTGTGAAAATGCAGCTGAGACGGGAAGGCGCTGGAAGAAGGTAGCAGGGACAATGGATGGTAGCCTGGAATCATCAGATTGTCACACAGGACAAGGCAGGAGGAACTGGTTGGAAGCGGGATGCTTGAAATGTTTAGGTGGCACGGTGCTTGGGAGTGATGTCTGAGTAGGTGGAGGAGGAAGTGACGAGGGTACAGGTACAGTGCTGCTGTATGACAGCAGATACGGAGGACCTGAAGCCACAGCTTGTGGTGTGACAGGGAGTGATGGAGATAGCATCTGCAGGTGATGGCCAGGTCTTCAGAGAGCTGGTGAGATAGTCTGAAGGGTACCACAAGAAGCAAGGACAATGTTTCTGTAGGCATTTAGGTTTAGTGGCATAGGAGAGGAACCACAGCAGCCTGAGAGCTGTGATCAGCAATGACAGTGACAGCAAGTGCTGTTGGGACCCGCAGGTTCAGTAAAAAACTGGCCACTGGCACACATGGCACTGGGGGTGGCAGGTAGAATATGCATGCACCTTGAAGATTTCTGGTTCTGGGGTATCCTTGGGGGTTGGACTGAAACCCTAACTTCTGCTCCAGGCTTGTATGTGGCTGCTACTTGGTTCTTCCTGTCCACAGAAGGCTCTAGCTCTCCACTCATTACTCCTTTGACAAAGACAGCCCAAGGCCCCAATAGGGAGGTATGCCTATGCCCTAGGAGACAGTTGGAGCTAGGGACTAAAGGTGACAAGAATGCAGTTTTAGATGCCCCATTGTCTCTCACTCAGTTTTCAGGACCAATCAGATACAGGATGTCCAGATGCTTATTAGGACACAAGACTCCTGAGCCCCAGTACTCACCTGTTGGGGATGGTGGGCTAAAGCCTGAAGATAGATGACTGAATGTCCCTTGTGTGCCTACAGATACCCGGGACTACATCTGTGAATTCTGTGCTCGCTCTTTCCGCACCAGTAGCAACCTTGTCATCCACAGACGAATCCACACGGGAGAGAAGCCCCTGCAGTGAGTGCCAGGGGCCATGGAGGGAGCTGTTATCTGGCAGCCAGAAAGTGGGCAGCAGAAACTCCAGGGAGGTGAAAGTGGACCAAGGCTTCTTCTGTTTCTGGCTGCAGGTGTGAGATATGTGGGTTCACTTGCCGTCAGAAGGCCTCTCTAAACTGGCACCGACGCAAGCATGCAGAGACTGTAGCTGCCCTGCGCTTCCCTTGTGGATTCTGTGGCAAACGCTTTGAGAAGCCAGACAGTGTGGCAGCTCACTGCAGCAAAAGCCACCCAACCCTGCTCCCCACACAGGAGTCACCTGGCTCTTTGGAGTCTAGTCCCAGCATCTCTGCTACTGAACCTCTGCAATCTCCGGAGGGGGCAAGCCTTTCCTCCTCTTCTGACTCTAATCCTGCCCCTTCAACAGCCAGCTCTTCACAATCTGGGGTACCAGACCCCAGGGATGCAGAGAAACGTCAGATGGTGGTCCCCAGGAACTAGGTATTAGGAGTAAAGTTTAAGGTAGGGCATGACTGGGCTCCAGATACCTTGCTTTAGCCTTCCTCAAGGAAACAATAAATGTTTTTTGTTTTTTTATACAAGTGTGGGCAGAGTATATGCTTTGGTGCTACAGATTTAAGATTCTGGGAATCTTTTGAGAACAGGATGTTAGCTGTGCCAGAATGCAGAACCCCGTGCACATGCCCAACTTCTTTCTAGACCTTTCTTGTACAGTGTAACATCTGCCTTGGTTTAGGGGCAGGCTGGACCAGGAGGCAAATGACCTTCTCTTGTCTAGCATTTGTCTCTGGTTGAGCCCTGCAGTTTGGTCTTCTGGCATAAAACCAAGCCCTACAGTAAAACAACTGATCTACAGTGGCTGGGCTTTTGAGAGGACATGACTTGTCAATGACTTAATCCTTTGATAAGTTCATAACAGAAGGTCTATTAGGCAGTGAGGCCAGTCCCTGGGGAAGTGCCTTTGAAGGGTAATCTGGTTCTGTATCCTTCCCATATTTCCTTGCCCTGAAGTAGGTAGCCTCCCATGCCTTTCTGCTTTGCTTCAGGCTCACAGAAGTGGAACCAGTTGACAACAGAATGACACTACTGAAACCACGAGCCAAAATAAATTTTTAAGTTGATTTTCTCAGGCATTTTGTTACAGCAATGAAGAAACCATCACCAAAAGGGATGAGAACTTGAAATTCATTTTGACAAAGGAGTTCTTGGTATCACAAACCCAAATAAGTAACAATTTCACCAGCTATAAACAGTCATTGACCGATTCCAGACTTTACATCCTGCCCTTGCCCAGGACTCCAGAGAACTTGTTTCCTTGTGCCTTGAAGCTTCATCTGGAAATAACGTTCTTTTGTTTCACATGTCGTCAATGGGCTTTATGAACCCACACAATCTTGGGCCGCATCCCAAGGCAAACATTTCTTACCTGGCTAGAGAAAACTGTCCCAAGAGTCATTTATTGGAAAAAAAAGTTACTTCTTTGTGTGTGCGCACATGTGCCATGGCATATGTGGGCTCAAGGGGTCAAATTCAGGTTGTCAGTTGGTGCCTTTACCTGCTTTTACCTTTTCAAGGGAGTAACTTGCAACAGATCTCAGACCTTTAATGAAGGGAGCTATTCTACCCTTCCATACCATACTCTGCAACTATGTGTCTCAAGCAAGAGAAAGTAGGAGCGATTAACAGGCAGATGCAAAGATACCTAACTGACCAAATAAGTTGCCTGAAGAGCCAGGAAAGAAACTGAGCTCAGGCCCACACAACAGAGATCAGAGTGGCAGCCACAGACCTGGTTTGTCTTGGACAGGAGTTTGGTTTTGGCTTCCTGACTCCTGGTATTCAGGGTTGGGGAATACAAGGGTGGATGATGGAAGAGCTAGTTGGGATCTCGGTTTGGAGGCAAGCTAGGTGAGCACCTAGCAACAGCAGGAGGGCTGGCTTCCTTGAGGTGAATGTGTGTTCACCCAGCTACCTCTTAGCAAGTTTCCTGAAATGGAGACATTAAAAGCCCTGATTTCTCCTGTTCTGTCGGCCCTGTGAGGGCAAGGGGAGGACCCACTGTCACCTCAGTGACTACAGTGGTGGTGGTAGTGGCTGCCATTGCAGCTGCTCGAGCACGTCTGTGGGACCGCTGGTGCTGTGACAGTGACCGGCCGTGGCTAAAGAATTTGCCACACTCTGTGCACTCTGCTGTCCGCTCACCCAGGTGTGTTTTTCTGTGCAGTGCAAGCTTGGAAGCAACACTGAAGGACTTGCCACACTCTGGGCACTTGTGTGGTTTATGGCCTGCGTGATTGCGCAAATGCACATTGAGGTTGGAGATGCAGGTGAATCGCTTGCCACACAGCTCACAGTGGTAAGGCTTTTCGCCAGTGTGTGTGCGTAGGTGTTTGGTGAGGTCCGAGCGGTCTGTGAAGCCTCGTCCACACTCTGGGCACGGGAAGGGCCTCTCCCCTGTGTGGCTGCGCTGGTGCACCACAAGGTCATATCGCTGTCCGAAGCCCTTGCCGCAAGTGGGGCACACGTGCGGTCGTTCACCCTGGTGGCTGCGCTGGTGGCGCAGCAGTGTGGAGCTCTCACTAAAGCAGCGTCCGCAGTCGCTACATGAGTATGGCTTTTCCCCAGTGTGCGTTCGCTGGTGCCGCACCAGCGTGGCACTCTCCAAGAAGCCCTTGCCACACTCTGGGCACTTGAAAGGCTTCTCCCCTGAGTGCCTCTGGAGGTGTCGCGTGAGTGTGGAACTCTTGCTGAAGCTCTTACCACACACACTACACTGGTGAGCCTCAGCGCCAGGATCGCTGAGGCTGAGGACTACGTGGATGCGGGAATGATTCCTCAGCCCAGCACTGCTACGGAAGGCCCGTGGGCACTGTGTACAGTGGTGGAGCGGGCTGGGGGGAGGGGCAGTCTCAGTCTCTGGAGGATGCGCCCGTGCCAGGTGAAAAGGAAGAGCACTCTGCCGGAAGGAGCGGGTACACAGTGGGCAGCGGTGGGGCTTCTCAGGTGGGTGCTGACGGACCCGATGTAGCAGCAGTGCAGGGACGTGAGGGAAGCGACGGCCGCAGAGGCGACAAGGGCAGGTGCGGCTACGCCTCCTGTGCGTTCCTAGGTGCAGGTCCAGCAGGCTGTTGTGATTGAAGCTCTGGCCACACTCACTGCAGACGTACAGAGTCTGGCCAGCATGGGTCTGCCTGTGTGCACGCAGGTCTGAGGCTCGAGCACAGCGTTCACCACACTCTAGACAGCGGAAACGCTTGTCACCACCGTGAGCACGTTCATGCCGCAGCAGCACTGCACTGTACCGAAAGCTCTTGCCACATACACTGCAGGAATAAGGCCTCCCCCCAATCGCTGCCAAGCCAGGTGTTGTGAACATGATGTTCGCCCTTTTCAGCCAATAATTGGCAGTTTTAAGGCCTGGAAAATACCAGAGGGAAAAGGCTGTGGTCTTGAACACTGGTGGACAGATTCTTAGGTCTCTTCTTTCAGTAGACACCCTCGCTGTCCCAAAGGCAGGCAGCAGCAGAATTCATCACCGTGATCTCTGTAGAGAGGTCACCCTCAGTTCAGCATTGGCTGCAACAGCTCTGGCTGGGGACATAGAAAAGGCACCTTGAACTCTCTAGGCCTGTATTAGCTAGTGTTGCTCTTAAGAGAGGAAAGCCACAGAGTCCCAAAAATTCAGAGGGGTGTCTCTGTAGTGCCTGGAAAGGAAAGAGGGACTGATCACACCTGTCCAGGAAACAAGCAGGTATGGATTTCAAGGAGTGTGTATGGGTGGTGGTGGGGGTTCTTTGCTAGAACTAGGAACACTCAGCATTGCTGGAGAGGCCGAGAAGGAAGTACTCAACCAGTTTTCCAGTGTGATTTAAGCCCCTGGGGATTTCTCATTGCCTGGCATCCTCCTTGGTCATTTCCTAATGCATCCCCTATCTACCAGAAAATAGGTCTGGCACAATGGGTGCCACGGCTATACTGACTCATACTGTATGCCCTGGGCTAGTGACAAATCCCAGACCCTGAGGGAATAGTCATTTAGTAAAGACAAACAGTTGAGAGATCAGTCAGCCTTTGTTTTTATAGGCATGGGACATGACACAACCTCTAGTTAAGTGTGCTCTTGGATCATCTAGAAAAAGCAAACAAAATGGCCAGCAGTCATTTTCTTGTGGGAAATGGAAATGTACCCTAAAAGTCCAGTGATGTTGGTTTGGCCGGAGAACCCATGGACTGGGCATCTATTTCTATATGTAAGTGGAGTCAAGTGGATGCAATGTTTGGCCAACAGCAAACCTGGGCAAACTCTGCATCTGCTGCGTCTCCATGACTGGTGAAGGACCACCAGGGAAATGTTCCTCTCGTTCCTTTTCTGAAGGAAGGACTTTTTAAAAAAACTTTTGAGGCAGTATCTATCTATATAGTTCTGGCTGCCCTCAAACTTAGAGATGTACCTGCCTCTGCTTTCCCAGTGCTGGGATTAAAATGTTATATCACCACACCAAGCTGAAGGAGTGTATTTCTTAAATAGTTATTTCCAAGTATCAAAACTGGGGCTGGAAAAATGGCTCAGCAGTTAAGAGCACAGGCTGCCCTACCCAAACCTGGAGTATTTTAAGCCCCAGACACTTTATTCAAAGGCAGTTTTTAAGCCATGCAAAGCATGGGCACCTTTACAGCCACAGAGCAGAATTCAGAGTTAATTTTTTTTTTGGTTTTTCGAGACAGGATTTCTCTGTATTGTTTTGGAGGCTATCGGTCCAGCCCGGCCTAGAACTCACAGAGATCCGCCTGCCTCTGCCTCCCGAGTGCTGGGATTAAAGGCGTGCGCCACCACTGCCCGGCAGTTACTTTAATTTTAATATTTATCTTATGTTTATTTATGTGTATGCATATATGTCTGTGTAAGGATATATACATGAGACTGCAGGTATCCAGAGACTAGAAGAGGGCATCGGATCCTCTGGAACTGGAGTGACAGGTAGTTCTAAGACACTTGAAGTGGGTGCTGGAAACGGAACTTGGATCCCATGAAAGAGCAGTATGTACTCAAGTTCTGAGCCACCTCTCCAGCCTTTATTTTTATTTTGGAACCAGGTTCTTACTATGTTGCCTTGGCTGGCTTTGAACTCATAGAGAACTGCCTGCTTCTACCTCCTGAGTGCTGGTCATTTAACGGAGTATTTGCCTCATGAGACTAAAATCCAGTAGCTGGTTTCAAATGTCCAAGAACAACACTCTGACTCTGAGAGGCCGGCACCTCTCAGCCAGTGCTCATTCTCTCCTAGGCCAAGGCTTCCCAAGGAACATGCCAAAGGAAAGTAACCCAAACACACAACACATACATGCATATAAAAGGTGAAAACAATTCCATCTCTTCCATATAACAGACATATAACAGAGTGTCGGGTGTAAGCTTGCTGTTGGACCTTTCACATCTCTTCCTTACCTCATCCCATTTCATGAGCAAAGAGGTCTGTTCCTGGGTTAGAAACCTGTAAAAAAAATATTACAATGCTTAGAATACTTAGAAATCACCCTAAATATCACTGGTCTGAGAATGAGTCTTTTTAAAAATTATTGACTCTTTGGGAGTTTCACATCATGCACCCCAATTCTGCTCACCTCCTGGTCCCCCGATTTCATCTTCACCCCTCATACAACAAAGTAAGCAAGCAAACAAAGAAAAAAACAAAACCTTTGTTTCTCCTTCTTTCTTGCCTCTCCAACACCTCTTTATTTGTTCTGATGGCATTGGAGGGTTTCGTGTGTCATATAGTATATGCCTTTGTCCCTTTACCAGCAAATGTTCATTGCAATGAGTCACTGGTCTGATTCAAGGCCGATGGTTTCTGGTACACCATCATCACTGAGTTCCTAAGGCCTACTGAGGTGACACAGGCCACAGACATCTATGAAGACTCCAGCTGCAGCTGGACCATAGATTCGACATGACCCTTGGTGGCAGCTTGGGGATGGACGACATCCTGGCTGTGGGTGCAAGGGTTACTCAGGTGACCGCCAGACACCACCAAGGTCCCAGGTTGAAGCCCCAACCCTGTGTCTCTATGTGACCTTTGGTGGCAATACAGGCCCCAGCAGGGGTAGGACCACAGACCCCAACATGGTCCTTGGCAGCAGCTAGGTACGGATGTCACCACTGCCCCAGCAGCCTCGGCCAGCAGCCATATGGCCCTCAGACATCAACATGGCCTTGATGGTAGCACAAGCACTGTACATCAGCACAGACCCAGTTGCAGTAGGGCCACAGACACTGACATTACTCTCAGCTGCAGCTCTGGCCCAGATGTCACCATTACATTGAGAAGCAGCACAGACCACTCAGTTCTGTATGCATCCTGGCCCTCTAACACCAACCTGGACTCAGGTGGCTGATCTGACCCTGGGCATCCTCATGGTGCTTGGTGGCAACACAAGCTATGTGTCAATCCGGACCCTCGCTGTATATAGGACCATGGAACCAGACATGGTCCTTGGCAGAAGCCTGGGACTGGATGACACCATCCTTGGTGAGGGCCATTATGCTGATGTGGAAAGACCACAGAAAGTACAAATCAGGAGAGATCAATTACGAACTCTTCATGATTTTCAAAAATTGCTGGGAGATATTAACTGGCTACAGTCCACAATTGGGCTGACAAGTCAAGAACTAAGTAATTTATTTCAAACCTTACAAAGTGATAAGGACTTAAATAGTCCAAGAAAACTATCAGCTGAGGCTGAGAGAGAACTGGCTCTGGTAGAAAAGAAACTACAGGATACGCACATGGATCACTTGGATCCAGAGCTTGATTGTGTTCTTGTTATTTAACTTTCTATAATTCTCCTACTAGAATTCTGATGCAGAGAGAAGATAGTATCTTAGAATGGACATTTTTACCACACAAAGAGTAAAAAAATTAAAGACCTATGTAGAAAAGGTTTCTAAGTTGATTCTGAAAGGCAAATTAAGACTTCACCAATTAGCAGGAATAGACCCAATTAGCAGAAATTGTGGTACCTTTTATAAAACCTGAAATTTCCTTATTATGGACAGAAAATGAACATTGGCAAAGAGCTTGAAGTAACTTTTTTGGGAGAGATTAATAACATATATCCCAAAAGCAAGAGACTTCAGTTTATAAAGAGAACTAACTGGGTCCTTCCTCACATTGTATGGGGAACACCAGTTTCTGGAGTCTCTACATTCTATCCTGATGCAAACAAACCGGGAAAGGCTGGCTACAAATCAGAAAATTTAAGCAGTGACTAAAGCCCTTATGATTCTGTCCAAAAGTCAGAATTATATGCTATTTTTCATGGTGTTATTAGATTTTCCAGAGCCTGACACTCGATATGCAGAATTGTTTTACATATTGAAACTGCTGAACTTACTCCAGATGATTCAGAATTAACTTTGTTATCCATTCAATTACAAGAAATAGACAGAAATAGAAACTATCTCTACTATGTAACACATATCAGATCCCATATGGGTCTACCAGGCCTTCTAGCACAAGATTCTTTTCTTTTTTTTTTTTTTTTTTTTTTTTTTTCTTTTCAACGCGAGCTAACCGACGGGAATCACACCGCCCCAAGACTCCTCCTGAGGCAGTCCCGCCGCCAAACCAGCGGAGCCAAGCCGGCCCGAAACCGACGGCGCCCCCCCGGGAGCCCGGGAAGACCCAACACGAGAGACTACCAACGCCGCCGCCACCGCCGAAGACCCCCGAGCGGGAAGTGGGGCCCCGGCACACGTCCAGCGACACGCCGGGCACGACCGACCGTCGTTCCCCAAAGGCCGCATCCGAGAGAGAAGTCAGTCAGTCCCGCCACACCCGGAACACCCTGGCCCCGTGGAGGGGAAGGTCACCGATGATCCCCAAACGTGGGAACGCTGCCGCGTGGAGGAGGACGAGGCGGCCCTCCATCGACGGCACAAGCACGAGCGACACGCACGCGTGGACGCGCAGCGGCATGTCCGCGCCGCGGGAACGGCGATAACGGGGACGCGCGGGAGGGGCCGTTCGCGGCGGGCAGGAACCGCGGGACCTAGGGGACGACGTGTGGGACCCGGGAGCCCACCACCGCCATACCGTTCCCCCGCCGGTCCGCGGCCCGCGGCGGCCCTCGGGGAGGCGGGGCACCGAGGCACGCGGGCGTGCACACACGGTCCCCCCTCGCCCTCTCCACACCACGGCAAAAGCCACGTGGCTCCAAGCGACACCGGGGTGACGACGACAGCTCTGCCCCGCGTGATCCCCCTCGGACTCGGAGCGAGGAGGCGCGGGCCGCGGTTGACGAGAGAGAGGAGCACAGACGCTCGGGGCGAAGCTACGCGCATCGGGCGGTCGGGGCGAGCAGCCGGTCGGGTCGGGGGACCACGCGGGAGGGAACCCCAAGCAACCCGAATCGGACACAGCACGCCCTTTCCTCGGATCGCTAGAGAAGGCACTTTTCTCATTGAGGGCGGGACGGAACCGACCCGACGAGCCCCCAGCCGCGGCGGCCAAGAGCGGCGCGTGCTTGCGGGCACGGAGGGGGGTCTGCGGCATCGGTAAGGCTTTTTTTTTTTTCGTTCCGTGGGCACACATCGAGCATTCGCGGACAGGAGGAACCAGGGCCAAGAAAAAGGTCCCCCTAACAGCCGGGCCTCTGAAACACACCGCCGGGTCAACGGCGATGAGTCAAGTTAACAAGGCTTAAGAAGGCTTAAGCGAAAAGGCCGACCGCGACCGCTCAGCCACCAAACCGACGCACGAGCCTACGGGAGAAGGCACACAAGTACGCGGCGGGCGCTCACCCAAAAACGTGAGTCTCCAAACACGCCAGGGGCGCGGGAGAACCCACACATGCAAACGTCACACTCCCCCAACAGAGGGGGGAGGCACCGCAGAGCCTCTTCTACCGCTCTCCTCTTTTCCTCGACCCCCAAGGCGAAACCGCCTGGCAAAAACCAGAGCGGCAAGCACCCATCCGACCGCAAACCGGATCCGAAGACGCACGCCACCGCAGAGCCAGACCGAGCACACGGGAGGCAGCACGCCGGGGAGCGGGAAACGACGCCACCGCTCAGAAACGGGCACCTTTGGGGTCCAAACCTGGAGCGCTCCAAGAGCACCACGAGGATGGCGAGCGAGGCACACGCACATGCCAGTCGGGAAAGGCATGCAGCACGGCAGACAGGCCAACCCCTTTTTCCCCGGTCCGGGAAGGAGGGCCAAGCGCCACGGGAGCCCCACGAACCACAGCGAGAAGTGCGTGGGGATAAAGACAGGGCTCAGACCGGATAACCGCACCCCTGCCTTCCACACACCACACCGAGCGGTGGGGGAGGAGAGGCGAGGGGCCCGCTGGCAGAACGAGAAGAGCGGCCGCCATTCACCATGAATGTCCGTCCCTCGCCTGGCGCGGCTTAGGCTCCGGCCCGAAGAGAGTTTGAAGGTACCACATCGATCCATGAGTTCTAGCACAAGATTATGATAAAATTATCAGCTAATGGCAGGAAATATACTAGAAGCCTCACAATTTCATAAGAAACATCATGTTAATAGCAAGAATTTGAAAAAAAAAACTTTTTTGGCAACAAGCCAAAGAAATTAAAGGAAATGTCTTACTTGTTTTTTTTTTTTTTTTTTGTATAACTAAACTTCATTACCTACAGGAAGTAACCCAAAGGGTATTCAAACAAATGAAATTTGGCAAATAGATGTGTTTCATTTTGTAGAGTTTGGAAAGTTAAAACATGTACACCACACCACAGATACATACTCTGGATTTCAATGGGCAACTGCTTTGAGTTCTGACAGGGTGATTCTATAATTGCACATTTATTAGAAGTTATGGCCATCATGGGGACACCTGTATAAATTAAGACTGACATTTGTCTCCAGTAAAATGAAAGATTTTTTTGCATATTACAAAATAAAGCATGTTACAGGATAACAATCCTAAAGGGCAAGCAAGCAGTTATAGTAAGATCTAATCAAACATAAGAGGTGTAATAAAGACCCCCAGAGATAGAACGCACAACGCTTTATTAACTTAAAAATTTCTAAATGCTAATGAGAAAGGAACAACAGCTGTGAAGAGACGCTGGGCGGTAGAAAAAAAAAAAAAACGGAATCAAATCAGCCTGTATATTTTTTTTTTCTTTTTTCGGTGTTTCGAGACAGGGTTTCTCTGTGGCTTTGGAGGCTGTCTTGGAACTAGCTCTTGTAGACCAGGCTGGTCTTGAACCGCCTGCCTCTGCCTCCGAGTGCTGGGATTAAAGGTGGGCGCTACCACTGCCTGTATACTTTAAAGATGCGTTTACCTCAGAAATGAAACCAGGATATGTATTATGCTAGGAAAGAAGTTTTGCTTTTGTTTCCACAGGAGAAGAAAACTTATGGATACCATCTAAATTGATAAAGATTAGATCTGAACAAGAGACCTCTTAATTAGAAGAGTTCATCAAACAGCATGACCATTCAATCTAAAATAGCTTGTAAGACTAGCAAATGATTTTTTTTTTTTTTTTTTTTTTTGGTTTTTCGAGACAGCATTTCTCTGTGGCTTTGGAGGCTGTCCTGGAACTCGCTCTGTAGACCAGGCTGGCCTCGAACTCACAGAGATCCGCCTGCCTCTGCCTCCCGAGTGCTGGGATTAAAGGCGTGCGCCACCAACGCCCGGCTTAGCAAATGATTTTCATTTGATCAGATGTAACTTGCCAAAAGGGAACCTCCCCAAAGTTAGGGTTGAGGTAGGGTTTTGTTTTTGTGTTTCCGGGTGAATGAAGGCATCTAACTAAGGAATCTGAAGACTACTGGACAAATGAGACATCTGAGGAAAACGGTCGAATCATCCAAAGAAAATGTCCCAAGAGAGAGAGTAAATTAGCCTATTGGCGTATCACATTTCTAACAGGATAAAAGTTCATAAAATTTCCCAAATATTTGTTTCTGTCATTCTCTACAGATATAAAGTACAAATGGCTTTTCTGCAGTCCCAGTTCAATTAAAAATTAAAGCTGGCTTTGGAGTTGGAGTGTGGCTCTCTCTTTTTCTAAACCCAAGCATGCTTGTCAAAGAAAATCCAAAATCTCTGTCTCATGAGAAGAGCCACTTGACACGGGACAGAAGAAAAATCAAAATTAAGGAACTATTCTATTGCTACTAATCTCATAATTCTTTGGTTTTACTTTGATTCTTTAAAACCTTCCTTTCTTCTTTTTCTTTCTGAGATAGGGTTCCTCTGTGTATCCCTGGCTGTCCTGGAACTTATTATGTAGACCAGGTTGGCCTTGCAGAGATCCACCTGCCTCAGCCTCCTAAGTGCTGGTATAAAAGGCATGCAACCACCATTGCCAGTCCAAAACTTTTCTTAAAGTATAAATATTATCTCAAAATTTGTATGATTAATATATTTACATATTTAAGCTTTTTGTTACTATATTAATGGTCATATAGAGTACTAACTATAAACAAAGGCTTCATCTAGCTTCCTGTACATGATTTTGGGTTATTGATATTTGTTATTGTTTAGGAGGTTGGTTACAAGTTGTTACTGGCAATGGTCAAGAAAAAAGCAAACAAAGGAGATTAGAATCAGGGATCTTGTTCTGAAAAGAAAATGGGGGAATATAGAAATGACAGGATAAAAGTGTATATTATTGAACCTATTTTTAAAGCAAAAAAGCAACGATTAGTCTTAAATATTTTACATTGGTATGGATTTTTATATATTGATACAAATTTTAGGTTATTCTTGTTATACTGCATACATGTTTAAGAGTAGAAACATGGATACAGTATAATACAAATCTAAGGCTATTTTTGTTAGAATCTACTGTACCTACATTTCTACTCATTGAAGGTATTGTACATATACAGCTCATTCAACAATGTAACGTAAATTTCTAGTCTTTGAAAGTCATTAGAAACTAGGATAATAAAGAAATACAGGCTAGTAGTTAGTCACTTACTACAATTAAATTTGTAGTCATGTTAGGTATGTTTTCAAGGTCAAACATATATTTTAGATAGACAGGTGACCTTCAAACACTTCAGAAATCTATAAAATAAGGTGTTTAAAATGTTTTAATAACATAAGGTTTTTTTATGACAATGAGACATTTCTGCTTCTGGTAGCACCAATCTACTTCAAGAAAAGGATGATGGGCATCAAAGAAAATACACGGAGTTTGCTTTCTTTGTGGCAAAAGTTAGCCACTGGGCAAGAAACTGCCCTTGCTTTGACTGCTGACTGTATGGTGTCCAAATTGGACAAGCAGGACACAGAAGAATGTGAGTGCTGAACTTTGCTAAGACAAGATGGGACAATCCTTCAAAATTCCTTCAGAAAAGTCTATGAGACATTCTAAGTCTATAGGCTGAAGATGGATGCCCCAACATTATAATTGGGTGGTTGTTCAGGAAGCCAGTTTTTTTCTGTCATTTCTTAGTTTTAGAGTTGTTTACTCTGCACTTCTTATTTACTCGTGTAATATATCCTTCACAGGTCTCTGATGGAGTTGAAGACTAGGTAGTTTTCCTTGTTACCAAATTCTCACAAAAGAGGTGTAAAGTGTGTAAGACTGAGAGACATAAAGAGTTTTGAGTTGGCAATAAAAGTTAGGATACAAAGTAAATTAAGTACACCACTTTGGACTCACCAAAATAGGATAATGGAGTATTTTCTCTGAATTTGTCAAATGCAAATGAACTGGACATTGTTAATGTAATTCTTACCTGTATCTATTTATATATGTTTATAATTTTACTATGTTAGTTAAAAATCTTCCTTTTCTTTTTTTAAGACAAAAGGGAAGACATACGGTGTGATACTCTGACTGTGCTCTCTGGCAAATAAAACTTGGCTTGGACTCAGAGGGTGGAGCTAGCCACTAGCCAACCAAAACTAACCAGAGGTTTTGCAGGATAGTAGACAGACAGGACAGGAAGTAGTAAAGCAGGGCAGAGAGGGATCTTAGCCCTTCTGGAAGAAGGAATGGAGCAGGCAGGAGAGGACTGGTAGCTTCTCTTCTTCTCTATTCCTTCAGGTTCTTTCCCCGGTATCTGATTCCTGAATTTTCATTGATAAAAAATATAATTAGAATAACGCTCACCCAAGTTTCAGGTACATTAATCTTAGGGCCGTGTCCCAGGAAATGAAACTCAAATGACGGACAGGAACTAGGAGGAGGAATGTGGACTGTGGCTCTTTCTAGGGAAGTGATTCTTCTGTTGGATTCTTTCTACCTCTGGGAAGCAGAGAGATACTATTGTCCTAGAGGTACTATGATCCTGACACCTGAAATTAGGTAGAGGCCAATTACCCATTCTTTATTGAATGGTATGTGAGTAGAAAGCTTTATGACCAGTGTGATATATTCAAGGAGCTGGCAAAAAATAGGAGTGACGAATGCTTTCACCTCAAGAACCAAGTCTGATTGATCGTGATTCAAATACAAAGTTCTTCTTTTACAAAGATTGTGAAATCTGGGAAGGTTAGAGATTAGTATGTAAGTAGTGAGAAACTATAGACATCAAGAGCTTATCTTCTGTCTGACAAATGAGCAAAACTGAAGGCTAGAACTCTCAGAACAGGGAAAACATGGAAAAGACTAGTAGGTCTCTTGTACCTTTTCTAGGACTACCAATGAATTGGACACAAGTAACACACTCTAGGCTGTAAAAAAATGATGTGTAATCATGTGTCAATTGACAATGTGATGAGTCCAGAAAATGTGGGCTTGTCATTGTGAATATCACAAAATTTACTTATACAAACTCAATTATGACAGTACCAAGTGACTGAATCTTAAATTATCACCATACAAACAGACTAAGATGCTTTATGGCAAGTAGTTGCATTAGTCTAGTATCCAGCTCTTTCAAATCTGTCTCTTTCTCTCCTCTGTGTGTATGTGTGTCTTGGATAGCTGAGTTGGGATTATAACCTGTGGAGTTCCCTGGAAAAGCTACATATATGCAAAGTAATTAGAGCCTGCATGATTATGAAGACTTGGGAATGCAGCAGATAGAGAGTCCAAATCATCTTGTGTCATCTTTAGCCCTTATAATAACCATTCATCACCCACCTCTGCATCTGACTTAAGATCCTTCACAATGTATCAATTTAGGAGACTGTTATCTTCTAACTTAGAAGCTAAGTATGTCACCAGATAGTACCTAAAACCTATAACATGGGCTGCTAAGATGGCTCACTGATTTTTAAGAGAGCCTGCTATTCTTGCAAAGGACCAAACTTTGGTTGGTTCTGAACACCCACAGAGAGTGGCTCACATGCCTGTAACTGCAGCTCTAGGGGGCCTGATGCTTTCTTCTGACCCCCATAGAAGAGTTCATGAATACACATACACACACCCAACCACATAAATAAAGATAATTCTTAAACCAAAATCAGTCTTCCCATTCCTTTTATTGGCAGGTTTTCTCATCTGCTACCTTTATTTTAGGTAATACTTGTTTTGGAGACAAGGTCTCATGTAGCTGAAAGCTGTCCCTCAAACTTGCTACCTGATCATGGTGGCTAATAACATGATACAGGAACTTGTTTCTTAAATTTTTCTTTCTTTTTTTTAAACAAACAAACAAAAAAATCCAACTGGCTGGGCACTGGTGGCACACGCCTTTAATCCCAGCACTCAGGAGGCAGAGGCAGGAGGATCTCTGTGACTTTGAGGCCAGTCTGGTCTACAAGAGTGAGTTCCAGGACAGCCTCCAAAACAATAGAGAAACCTTGTCTCGAACCCCACCCCCAAATAAATAAATAAATAAATAAGCAAACAAAAAATCCAACTGTTACTCTGAGGCTGTAAGACTGGTAGGGGTGAAAAATTTATCTTGGTTATCTTTTTTTCCAAGGCAGGGTTTCTCTGTGTAGCCCTGACTGTCCTGGAACTTGCTCTGTAGACCAGGCTGGCCTCTGACTCAGAGATCCAGAGTGCTGGGATTAAGGGCATGTGCCATCATTGCTCCATCATCTCCAATTGGCCTTAATAGTCATTTATCTCTCACCTCTGTATCTAACAGTCTTTGAACCATCAGGTAAAGCCTTTGGAAGACATTAACTTACACCATTAGCTTCCACTAACCTGAAAGCTAAGACTATAATCACATAGCATCTAAATCTTACACTAATTCTACTGTAGCCTGCCTACATCTCACATTACCTTTGAAGAGTTTCGTTTTATGTTGACAAACCTGCTTAGAAGGACCAGAAAGGCAAGCTTCCAAACTTTGGCTTTCCATGATTAATTGTGCGACCTTGAGAACAGGCTTTAGGTTACCTGTCCTTACAACCTGGGATAACTCAACATAGGAAACCAGCATAGTTTTCTATGAAAACAGAAAGGTCAAAGCAGCCATAAACCTGAGAACTGAAGTTGTGCAGCACTCGCGATTAACTCTTTAGGACCGTTCTTACTTAGGCGGGCCCTGAGACGGAGGCTTAACTTACTGGCCGACAGCCTGCCAGGTCTGACTTTCTCGCTCGGCCCCAGAGCCCTTTTCCATCGAGTATGGAACGCGGGCCTTCCCTAGCTACAGGCGGGTGCTGGCGCCTGGGTGACCTAAACTGCGGGACGCGTAAGCACTGAGGCAACACGGCGCGCAGCACCCGCCTCCTCAGGTCTCCTGAGGCTGTCACTACAGGCCGGTGGCTGTAGTCGCCCCGTGACCCGCTCCGGCAGGCAGACGATTTCGCGGACGCGCGGCCGGACAGCACGGCCGTCCCGAAGCGGCCTGCACAGGCGCACTGGTCCGCCGCGCGTGCGCCGCTCGTCGCCCTCCGGTCCGGGCCGCTTGACCCGGGGTGGAGGGGAGACGGCGGCCGTCGAGGGTCGCGGCCCTGCCCGCCCTGCCTTGTGGCCCTCAGACCCCTCACCAGTCACCGGAGGGCCGCTCCAAGCCGCGTTCGCCTCAACGCGTTATGGACGGTGCTGGACTCAGCGTGCGGAGGAAGGGGAGGGTGCAAGCAGGGCGGGGCCAAAAGACAGCATGCTGATTGGCTTGCTCTGCCTGCCCCCGGTCATCACACTGCTGTTGCTGGTGCATCGATCCTGCGCAAGCGCACTATTGACCTGACCTGGCGACTGTGTCACTTGCTATGCTCAGTTAACCTGCCTCCCGTTTCAGGTGCCCATACGTGGGTCCCTTCCTGCCATTCGGAAGAAAGTGCGCCGAGCTCAGGGACACCTGGAAATGGGTCAGGGCCGTAGCCGGTTACTCGAGGGAGGTCATTACCAAGTTAGTGCCTTCCTATACAGTGAGGCCAGACCGGATGTCGGCTATCTTGACTAGTCTTCCCCGTAGATTAATGACCTGCCCAAGAGCACTCACTGCCAGGGACAGCCGTACTCCTGTTCTGCTGGCCAGGTGCCTCAGGCTTAGACATGTGTGAGTGGAGATGGCTCCCAACACTGCAGAGCAAGGATGAAAGCAGTCTAGGACCCTAGGAATGCGGCTCAACCCCAGACCGTAAATCTCTCAGTTGGCAGACTGTTGGACTAGTCAAGGTCCAGAGTTTATTTACCAGCACCACATAAAACGCGTCGGCGCTACGCAGACTTGAAAATTCAAGTACACCAAAAGTGGAGGCAGGAGGATCAGAATTCAGTCATCTCTTGCCTCTGCAATTCCTAGCTAGTATAGTCTCCCTGAAACTTGTCAATTCTGTAGGACTGTCAATTCGATAGGATGTAACATCACCTGAGAACAGTCTCAACGACGACTGGCTTGACACCTGGGCAAGTCTGTGAGACATTTTCATGGAGGTACCATTTCATGGATTGGGTTCTGCACTATGCAAGTGTTGAGACGTCACTGAGAAGGCAGAAACAGATATTTATGTATTAGGTCTCCAAATATTAGATCATCTGGGACCTGCCCAATGATCTTCAGACCCTCTGAACAGAATGCTGCATAACTAGAATCATTATGCAACACATTTTGTTTACATATGCTAGCAGAGATCATCAAAATTGTACACGGACACCCCCACTTTTTTTTTTTTGCTAGTGTTGTGTATCTACTAAGTAAAATGATAGTTCTTGTCTAATGTGGACCAGAGAAGACAAAAGGTTAGATACCAGCTGTAGAGCAAGAAGAGTGGAGCAAGGAAAGAGTTCTAGGAAGTAGAGTTGGTAAAGATTTTGGGAGAGCTAACAAATCATGGGACCCCTCTTTTTCAGTAGGGCAGGACGTGAACCCAGATCCTTAAATATACTTGGCAAGTGCTCTATCACAGAGCTACATCCTCAACTAACTTTTCACAAGCTTCTACTGGTGCCAGGGTGTCTGCACATGGCTGGCTAATGGAATATAAATAGAACATCACATGCCCTGTCCCATATCCAAGAGTGTGAGCATCCCTCGGTGGAAATGGCAGAACCAGCTGCATCACACGAGCCCTGTGAATGTAGGTTTGCTGTTACTACTGTGTAAGGGTGGAATCCAGTTTTATTCATCATGTTACCACATGCCTAAATATGTTTTCCATTATGTTTCAATTTCAGTTCCTCATGCCAAACATGTCTGCCTCCTGCTTCTAATTCTTTTCCAAATAACTTGATAGTGGTCAACTGAGTTTCCAGTGGTGGAAAGAACCAAGTAAAGTAAAATCCAATGTAACAATTTAGAACTAGAACAGAAAGACTGGGTTAACTTTGTCCTGAATTGCAGAAAACCTCAGTTGTTTTCTTTTTTTTTTTTTTTACAGAATGAAGGCTTTAATTAATGTCGTTATTAATGGGAAAGCACATCAAAATAGATTTCAGGAAATTAAAGAAGATAAGCAAAACCTACCAATAACATCAACAATACAAGTGATTCTAATGACTTGGCAATTATCTTTTAAATTAAGTCAGACAGTAATCTTTTTATGAAAGATTTTCAACTGTCTATGTGAGTGGGTGGGTATGTGCATGTGCACTGACTCTGCTAGTGCTGTAATTGTGAGCTTCCTGACACGGGTTGCTAGGAACTGAACTCATTCTGGAAGAATAGCATGCTGCTTTTAATTGCTGACCCATTTCCCCAGCTCTTAGACAGTAAGCTTAATAGAAACTGATTGGGTTCCTGCTGCTTATAGGGTTTGTTCAACTTCAAGGTGTCAAACACTTATTCCAACACAAAGACTAATGTTTCCTTTTACACCTTTGCAAGTAAACTAACTGTGAAGAACTACCATAAATTAGACAGGTAAGCACCATGAACTTGGTGGGAGGATATAACATTGCTAAGGTATTTAAAGATCGGCCCCTTTGAAAACAAACTTAACGGGAGTTCTTTAAGGATGAAATTAAGCAAATAGTAAAGTTGGGGAAAACATTATGTCCCAAACTAATGTATACACCAATGTTTACAACACTGAGGCTAGGGTCATGGCAGTTTCCAGGGTTAGAGTATGGGGAAACCATCTCAAAAACTTTCCAACAACTTGCTACTGCTGCTGCTAGCCCTCTAGGGTCCTTCTTTTCTGAAGCTCACCTGACACAGTTACACCCCCCCTCTTTCTCTCTTTAATGTTTTAAATTTTATCCAATTTTAAAAAATTTATGTATAAATGCATGTGCATCACATGCATTTGGTGCACACAGAGACCAGAAAAGGGTCAGGTCCCCTAGAACTGGAGTTACAGAAAGTTGTGAGCCACCTTGTGGGCTCTGGGAATTGAGTCCTGTCATAAAACAAATCAAGTTGTTAGGGTTGCACAGCAATGCCTTTATCCATTGGGCCTTTCAGCAGCCCAGACCGTTGTCATCTTTTATTTCCCTCACAACATACCCTGAACTATCTTCATTAAAAATTAGTTTTTTGCCGGGTGTGGCAACTCATGCCTTTAATCCCAGCAGTTGGGGAGGAGTCAGAGGCAGTCAATCTCTGTGAGTTCCAGGGCAGCCAGAGCTACAAAGTGAGACCCTGTCTCACAAAACCAAACATAATAACAACAATAGCAACTAGTTTTTCTTGGGCTGGAGAAATGGCTCAGTGGTTAAGAGTATTTGCTCTTGCAGAGGACCTGAATTTAGCACCCAGCACCCACATGATGGCACACAACATCTGTAACTCCAGTTCTAGGATATCCAATGGTTCTTTTGGCCTCTGAAGGCACCAGGCATCCATGTGGTACACATACACACATGTAGGCAAAACACTCCTAACACAGAAAATAAACAAAATCTAAAAAGAATTTAAAAACTAAAACTTGCAACTTTTGCAGTGCTAGAACTGAACTAAGAACCTAGGGCCTTCCACATGTTGTGTCCTGTTGACAAGTGCTGTATCCCTGAGCTGTATTCGAACACTCCATTTTTTACTTATTTTGGAGACAGTATCACATTGTTGCCCAATGTGGCAATCCTCCTGCCTTAGACTCCTTAAGTTTTAGGATTCTGGGTGTACACAACTCACTTAGTTCTTTCTTTTTACATTTGTGTGTATAGTCGAATGTGCTGACTCATGGCAGTAAGAACTCTCCTCCACTGTTTGGGTTGTCAGATCTGGCAGCCGGTGTCTTTTAACTGATGAGCTATCTCCCCAGTCCGTACCTTTTTACCTTTCCGGAGGTGAGTGTGTGGTGGGGGTTGAATCAAGGGTCTCAGGCATGCTAAGCAATCAGGGGGTTACATCCCCAACCTTTGAGTGGCTATTTACAAAGGTAGAATGGAAGGAGAGAGCTGAGAACTGAAGAACTCCTGCACCTGATATTTCCACCCAAACCTATGTGCTACGAGATAGCCAAATCTGCCCAGGTTCTTGGGAGGCAGAGGCAGGTGGATCTGTGAGTTTGAGGCCAGCCTGGTTAATAGAGTGAGTTCCAGGAGAGGGGGAGGAGGGTGGATGCAGGGAGAGGGAGGGAGAGAGGAAGAAGAAGGGAGAGAGGGAGGGAGGGAGGAAGGAGAGAGAGAGAGAACACACCAAATCCTACCATGGTTTCTAGCACCAACAGTCCTATCCCTAGGATGACCCAGCCCCTTATGTCCCATTAAAATGCCTGTCTGAGAAACCTCAATGCTGTCAGGAGAGTGTACTGTTTATTTTGGGTAACACCTGGTTGCCAATAGCAGGTTATCGACTGACTTTTCTTATAGCACTTACTAAAAAACAATTTTGAATCCATCCTTTTTCCCTTTATGATAGTGTACGTTATTTCTTACACTTTAGGAGTGTCCTTCTCAAAGAGCCAAGGGCCATATATATCTTTGCAATGTAGTCATTAGGAAAAGACAGGCGGATCTCTGTGAGTTCGAGGCCAGCCTAGTCTTCAAAGAGGGTTCCAGGACAGTCTCCACACCTACAGAGAAACCCTGTCTTGGGGGGGGGGGGAGAAAAAAAAAAGAAAAAAAGAAAAAGAGAAGAAAAGGAAAAGACAGGGTCTCCATCTCCTAGTCTTGGAGACAAGAAAATGATTCTTTGGTTTAACTTTAGTCGGGTTTCTGACCTCTTTTCTAGGCCTACCTTTGCGTAGTCAGGCTCCTCAGTATAGACATAAGTCTTCCAGGATTGTATTCAGCAAGAATCCAGTTAGGTTGGCTTAACAAGCCCCGTTTTACCCTACTTTTTTCCTCTTATCAATTTTCTATACACTGACTCCAATACTGATTTTGGCTACAAATTTCATTTTGTTCACGCTGTAGTTGGAGTCCAATCTCCCCCCACTGTACTAGCCCCATATCTCGTTCTACAATCCTTATACAGTCTTCCTTGTCATTTTTTAACAAACCACATAATACTTTGTAACACGGAGCAGAATCCTAACGTAACTGCCAACTAGAAGCACGCTGACCTTATAGCACCGTCAGTGACCAGCCCTGTAAATCCTCACTTCTCTGACTACGGGACCCCAGCTCTCTTTCTTCATTCACATTCCCCTTAAAGCACTAGAAGACCCCCTACACAAACAGAAATGCAGTTCTTGACTAAACAAAATCTTTTCTTAACCGCTTCATCAAACACGGGTTGTGTTCTACAGACCCCAAGGTGCGTGCTTCATCTCCAGGGTAAAGCCTGATCCGGCTGAAGCCGCCAGGCTAATGTACCAAGCAAACACTCCACCTCGCAGCTCTTAACCTCGGTCCTTCTTGCCTAAGTAGCAGGGGCACCCAGACCACCCATTTACGGAGTAGGGAATGATACACTGGGCGAAGTTCGAGCCTCCACGTCCTCTTGAAAGCGAGCTAGCGTTGAGATCCTCGACATTCACGGCGTAGCTGGAATCCGGTGAGGCCCGCTACTTAGCCGGAGCGATGGCGCCAGCTGCAGGTATCGGGAGAGGTTTGCTCACCTTTCCTGACCCAGTCCGCCAGCACCACCAAAGCGAGAGAAACCACCTTTGTTATGATAACGACTGTTGTTTTTATAGCAATCCCTAGAGAGCAGAAGCCACCGAAACCGGAAGTCTGCAACACCACTTCCTGTTTACGACTGGAAGTGACAAACTACTACAGCCACAGCCTCTATACCGTAAAGCAAGATGGCCACGCTCTCTTACGACACTATTGCTAGCCCGTCTCTTGTCGGGAGGGACTGTAGGTCTCCATCACCCGCTGTAGTTTTCCTCGGAATCTCATATTCATGCATTCATCTCACTTAGACTCGGTGGGGATGAACTGGAAGCTAGGAAAGGCGACGTTGGAGATAGAGTAGCGCCATCTTGTACGGACGCTGAAAGCCAGCATTCCGGGTGCTGAGCCCACACGGGGCAATGTTTGTCAGTGACGATGGGAGGGATAGCGTTTTTACGGGATGGCGTATTTCCGTTTCCTCTCCGCCTGGGCGTTTTTGGTTGGACAGTCTTGTTGCGGGGAGGGAGGGGGAAGATTGTTTGCTCCCTAGACGTTCCCCGCACAGCAAGGTAAACTGAGGTAAAGCCGGGAAGGGGAGTTTTTGCTTTTGGTCATATGGGATGGCTGGGACTCAGACCTTGGGACTGCGGCAGAGTGAGGGGTTGGAGCCTGGAGGCTGAGATGGTCCGCAGGACTGGTGAGGCGGGGTTGAGGATTAGAAGGTGAATTGCTAAGCCGGAGAGGGTGGTGGGGGACCGGCTGAAGAGAAAGAGGGTGTGGATGAGAGGGTGGGGGCTCAAGTCTGGGAGGGGCTGGAGCGAGAGGAGCAGGGACAGGAGCAGAGTCGGACCTAAAGTCCTTGAGGCCTGAGGAAAGAAGTTGAGGTGGAGACAGGTCTGACCACACAAGTGTGTGTTGGGGATTCAGAGGTGTCTTTGGGAGACCCAGGACCTGGAGGAGGCTTCTGGCCGAGGTTCTGATGCTGACATCATATGTAACTTGGCCTTTGTTTCTCCTGCAGCTCCCCAGAGGCTTGTCTCTTAGCCTCTGCTCGGACTTAGCCTTCTCTCCATCTGCCACCACAGCCTGGAGGCGCTTGCCTCCACCCTCCCGAATGGTGCTCCTCTTTGCAGGCCTCGGCCCAGGATCCAGGCCCCCTTTGCTCCTTGGTTCGGAGCTGTTGCTGCTGGGGTCTCTTGGTGGACTCCCTGTTGTGGGGTGTGAAGAACTTTTGCACACACGAGGCTTTAGTTACAGGGACCTTACCAACACTTTGAATCTCAGCCTCTAACCTGGCTCGAGGCTCTTCCTGTGCCCCTTATTTTCTGCCTTTGAGAAGAGGAAACCCTTCTGTTTGACACCCAAAGCCCAGGAAGCCTCAAGCTGGGGCCCTGGTCCCAGCATGTCAGCCCTCTCTTGTGCATAGGGCTCTGCCCTCTTCCAGCCAGCATGGCTGATTTCAAAAAGGCTCCGGGGGGCCGAGAGACTCCACAGGGGGAACTGCGACCAGAGGTGGTTGAGGATGAAGTCCCTAG